GTGAAAGCTTATGCCATGCAACCCTGCTGCCACTTCAACTTAACAAGTCAAATACAATATTGGTAGGATATGATATCTACTAGCTGTAACCTTGCAAATGATCTCTCCGAATCTATGAATGCTACTTGTTGGAAATATTGAGCAGAATTCCTAAAATGTTGATTGAGGTATTGACTCCAGGAATGTAGACAGAGATGCTCAAATACCATTTTAGCAATATTTGGTGTCATTAAAAGAGAACTGTTTCTTACTCCAGAGATCTTAATAGTTTAATTGTCTAGACACTGAAGTTGGGAGGGAGATGTCTTATGTTGCAATGTTAATATTTCAGAATTGTTCATGAGTTGGTTATTTGTAATACAGGAAATGCTTCGTTTCATAGCTTCTGTAACAAAGGGCAAATAAATGCACCTCCCTATCACTGCATTTCCCTCTTGAAGCTGCACTGCTTTTCCAGCCACAAAGTGGAATGTCTCCATTGCATTGGTGTGATGTACTATAGAATGCTTAACTTGGGCCAGGAAGATATGATTGATTGATTTTGATATGTTTGGTGTGGCACAGAGCACCCCAAGTTGACACAGAAAAAATAAGGAGTATCAATGGCCACTTGTGTGCTATGTGGTGATTCAAGGCTTAAATTCCAACCCCTAAATGACCATTTATCAAACACAAATGTGTCAGCAGTTCCAAGAATAGGATGGTTCCTTTCTTGCTTACCTTCATCCTTATTTTGTGTCACCATCCTAAGCCCAAGGTAGATTGTCATATTGTGAGCTCTGTTGGAATCAGTTCTTGATGGTTCAGGCTAGTCTAGCATTTGTTTCTGGGAGAAGTGTGGCCGGCAGAGGTGAGGCATTGACCACTCGGTCCTCTGTATTGATCCCACCATCTTTGCTACAGAGGTGTACACTCTCTGACATCCCACTTTAGGCTGTTATGGCTGATATCTGTTGATAGACTCTTTCCTCCTTGATGCTAAGCAGTTGAATGGAAAAAGCAAAACAAGAAGTACTATTTCACACTACAGACTCATAAGCAACTTACAATTTCACTGCCATGATATGTGGTAATGACCACAAGCTTAGATGGCTTCACATTAGAAATTAGAAATTCATCAAGAAGCGAAGGGGCTCCTGAGTTATTTTAAGAGGTTATCCCCCCACTATCCACTCTCTCCATGTTGTTTGTCATTTAAAAACAAAAAACCAACAAATGTCACCCTACATTTTTGTTTTTCTAGATTTAAAAACCCCCAGTAATTATTGTCAAGCCTTTCCACATGGGTAAAACTCTCCAGACTCTTGATTATTTTAATTACCCCTTTCTTCAACTTTTCCAGTTGTATGATCTCTTTTTTGAGATGAAATAACTAAAATTCCTCACTGTGTTGCAGATGCAGTTGCATCATACCTTTTTTCTCAGCCTGTACAGTGGTACCTCGGAGTTACATAACTTCAGGCTACATACGCTTCAGGTTACAGATCCTAACCAGAAGAGTACCTCAGTTAAGCACTATTGTGCAGACGAAAGAATCATGATCTGCGGCACAGGCGCAGCAGCGGGGCCCCATTACTAAAGTGTGCTTCAGTTAAGAACAGTTTCAGTAAAATGGACTCCGACAATTAGTATAACCCTTGCCACTGTATGGTCTTGCTAGTTGCAGGATAGTTTGGGCTTTGAGTTTAAAATTGTGCACACACCTTTAGATTTGATGGGCAACACCCTATGCTATGCCAGTGGATGTGATGGAACTTCCTTTTCTCCTGTTTTCTCTGTGTTTGGGAGCATCCCCTCAACCCCCCCAGTGCAGATTAGAGGGGTCGCAAGAGTGATGAGAGGAAGAGTTAAGTCTGTTTTAGCAAGTGGAAATGGTTGATCCGAATGTGGTGTCCCATTTACGTTACTGCCCTATGTTTCCACCTTCTTAAACTTTTATTAAATATGTTGTAGCTTTCAAAATGCACAGGATGTTCTACAGACAGTAATAAATATACTTCCCCTCCTCTTAGTGCTGGCTTGGGTATATTGTCTGCTGAGCACTAAATAGAAGCAGTCTGTTTTCTTAACCCTCATTTGTTTATGCAAAGCTAGCTGAAACAGTGCTCTAATTTCATCCTTTCATCTCTTGTTTCACTCATCATCTAGTTGGACAGAATAGAGCCCACTGCGTCTAGGGTGGCTGCTCAGGCTAATTTATTAATTGTCTGGTGAAGTGCCAGAGTAATTTCCCAGAGCCTTTGGTAGAATGGGGGCAAAACATTTCCTTCCATAAAAACTTGATTTCTAAACTTAGTCTTCCTTAAACTAAAAACTCGTGAAATATTTTTTTTTGAATGTGTGAAATGCTCTACTTGCACAGCATGTTCCATGTGCCTTCTATAATAATCTTCAATCTACAGCATTAGAGAAATCTGATTGTAAGACATATGCAGCATAAGTAATAGATCTATTAAAATTATAAGGCATATGCAATATTATTAATAGATCTGTTAATACTATCTATTAATCCTGCGACTGGGACTGTTTTCTGTCCATTTGTTGTGCTTGTTAATGAACAATCAGTCAATCAATCAATCAATCAATCAAGGCAGCTTACAACATATAAAAAAATTACATTATTACAGACATAAGTACTCATAAACAATAAATAAAACATCAAAAGGTACACAGCCAAATTGAACAATTTCTAAAATAAAGATACAAAATAATAATAATATCAGTAACAGCAACAATCCCCCCCCCAAACAATACCACAGATCAATAATAGTCTGTTTAGCAACCTTAGCTTTTGAAACTGGAGTCAGTTAGGGCACCACCCTCCCAGGCCACTTGAATAAAAAGACCTGCAAGGCCGGGAGCAGGTCTTCCAGGACTCATGGCCAAGATGAAGCATTGCTCTCTGAATTAGTTTTGTTTGCCTTCAATGACAACAACATATAGCTAAATCAGGCTGGTTACATATGACATCAAATAAAGAATGTTGATGAAGCAGCGATCAATGGGAAATGCAGATGGCAGGGAAGTGGGTAAGATTGGGGTAGGTGGTTTGATTGGGGAACTCAACCTTCCAAAAGGTCGTCTTCCACACCAACTTGACTCAACCTTAGTTTTTGAAGCAAAGAGGCTAGCTTTTAGGTTTCTTTGTGTTGCAAGTAATTTTAACTAGATGTGAGCCAAAGGATATACCTAGGTGATTTTGCTGGAATCCTGGCTTTGCAGCTGTGGCTTGTAAAGAAAATTGAGGAAGAAAATGTGATGGAAGTATAGAATCATGGAGTGGAGATGCATCACTTTTGCTGCACCCCTCTATTGCGGGGATAGTAGAACCTATGTCCTTCCAGGTGTGGTTGAATTCCAGTTCCTCCCATCACTCTCAGCCAACATGGCCAGTGGTTGGGGATGAGCAAAATTATAAGCAGATGGACCACTGGACAACTGTTCAGTATGGTGAAATATTTATTTGCAGGAAGGTACTCTTTAATTTTCCCAGGATTGGGGGGGGGACCCAACACACATAACCTACCCTACTTGAACTAGTCATCCTTACCATTTTTGCTGTTCAGCATCAAGTAATGCAGATGTGGCTTGTCCTCAAAACTCAGTGAGGCCTACTTGGAGAAGCTTGACAAGAAAACTCTTCTTACAGCATTCCAATTCCACCCCAGTACTGTACTTAAATTAGCACTCCTGTTGTAACTCTCAAAACATTTAGTAAGTGCTAGACTTCAACTGAAATGTCTGGTTTCCTTCAAAGTTATGACCTAAAAAACAACACTATGAGCCTTTTTTCCAGTTTAAACCTGCAGAAATACATTGAAGGAAAAGCGAAGCCTTCGCTAACCATGGCCTGGTGCATCATTGTAATATATTTACATCTTTTTTGGAGTTAATTGTAGCCTTGCACATGCGTTGACTGATTATCATCACGTGAGGTTGCTTGCTTTCGACCTTCCTCCGCCCATCATGTACATAGTGGGGTTTGTGAGAGAGAGGATGCAAGCATTGTCCTGTTCTTTCCTTCATGAGGAGTGAATGGCTTTATATGAGTGAGAATGTTGGTTTTACAGTCATAATGAAGCCTCTCAAAATTGGATGATGATGATTATTTACTTCCCATGAGGCATATTGATGTGATTTACAATATTGCATGTTGCATTTAGAAAAACAATTAAAAACTCTTAATTATACATACATACATACATACATACATACATAGCATTAATTCAGATCCAGGACAAAAACCAACTGGGATAAAGATTGATGACAAATTACAGCAGTTGGTTTTAATTTGGAACCCTATTAGACATTCACTCATATAGTGACCAGAAGGTAAGAGAATGTTATCTGAAAATAGCAAAGATAGGTCTCAATACAAAGTTCAGTGACCACTGGTGTAAGAAAAATACATGGGTATGCCATTGTCTAAAGTTCATGCACTTGCCTTTTCTGCAGTCAAGAATTTGGCTGGATACATGTGAAAAGGCTGACTTTTGATTAAACACGTTCAGGGTTAAGTAGTGAATCTTGCAAAATTTCAGTCTGTGGTTGGTTACTGATGTGTCAGCAAAGAGAGCTGGTCAGGCAGGCATTTACCGCTGTCCCTTGTTAAATAAAATGACTAGACTTAAAAAAATATGGAGTGCTTTCCCTCATGTTTAAATGTACAAATGGTTGTAATTCTAATGCAGCATACTCATAACCCAGAGAGAAGGTTAACTGTCGGCTTATGAGTAAGGAAAATGCATTTGTGTTCCTGCGCGATGTACAGGCTATGCAAAGGAGATAATCTTTAGTAGTATCGGCCATGCTTGTGGATATATACATACAGATAGGGAATTCTATATAAGGAGAAGAACCTACTGATTCGGTTTCACCTTTCTTGAAAACTTGTTGAATGATAAGAACCTGCTAAACTTTCGCTGGTTTTGTTTGTTTGTTTGTTTCGCTTCGTTTAAAAAATATGTTTTTAACATGTGAGTTTTTGTTTGCTTTTGTAGTGAGTTTGGTGGTGAAAAACAGCCAGAATGACAACTTTGGGCACTCAAGTCTTCTGTTCGCAGAACAGGTACAGCAGTGACAGCAGTAGCTGAAGGGTGAGTCCTTATCTTATACTCTTTATGTACAACAGCTCTTTTCATCATCTGAGCATGAGAAATAACAAGACAATCCATAATGTATCAATTTTATTAACTGTCATAGATAAGAGGCAGTTATTGCATCAAATAACTACGCAGCAAAAAACTGAGTTTGTAAGTGGTAATTTCTCTCCTATTGCATATTAACTGTTAGATTGGATGGGCTGTATCCACATTGATACTCACAGTCATACTCAGAGTAGACCCACTGAAAGTAATGGACATAAGTAACTTAGGTATGTTTATTCATATGGCTCTACTCAGAGTAGAACTTTGTTAACTACAACTCCATGTGTGCGAATTTAGCTTGAGACAACTGCTGCTTTGGTAGCCATTAGAAACAGAAGTTGCTAAGTTAACTACCCACTCCCATGTAGTTGAACTCTTCTGTGTGTTCTTTGACTAAATATTGTATAGAATCTTTTAAACTGTCTTAGCTTTAGCTATGTATGCCCAGTGTATGTGTTCTGCTGTAATTCATTGGTACAGCATGTGTTTTGCATGCAGCAGGTCAGAGTTCAAGAGCTGGGAAAATCTATCTGAAGTGTTAAAAAGCTAGCATCAGTCAGAGCAGACCAGGGGTTAGAAAACCTCAGGCCAAGGGCCTGAAGTTTATTTGTGAGGAACCTTCTGTGGGCTGCATGCAGTGGCAAGTGTTACCAGAGGCAAAATGGGTAGAGTAGTGGCTGTGACTTGGTACTTTTGCATTCCAGCCTTGCAAAAGTCATGGTTTTTACACTTGCACGCAACTCTCTATCCTCCACTTAGGCTGCAGGTGTGTGGGATTGTGACATGTGACATGTCTATGTTTACATTCTAGCACTGATTGTTGGAGTCTTGTGAGCGGAAATTGAGATACACTGTTCCGTTCTGTATAGCTATTGCTTTTGCAGTTCTCTCTCCAAGGAAGAAAGACGCAGAGAGAAGTCATATTTTCTTTGTTTTATTACATTTGATTTTGTGCACAATAAATTAGGCTTAGATGTTACACCTCAAGGCTCAGCTTCTGTTTGGACTCTGCTAGTTGTGTGCTCATGTCCTTGAATGTGGGTCACATCAGCGTGATGGGACACTGGAGTGATGAATCCCGGGCAACGCTGCGTTGTGGGGAGGCACCGGCCTCAGCATTATCAATCAAAAACATAGTCACAGTTCAAGTATACAGTCCACTCAGGCAAAAACACTTGAGGAGGATGCAGAACGGGGCGGGGGGGGGCGGGTCAGGAGTGTGTTGCCTGAGAGATTCCTGGAGTACCTCATTTGAACCCTGGGCCTGAGGTTCTCCAACCAGTACAGACAATACTGACCTAGATAGATCAGTGGTCTGACTTTATATAAGGCACATTCCAAGGTTCCTAAATAAGCTGGAAACAGCTAGAGGTCAGAATGTTGCATTGAAGAGAAAAAATGCTTAGATAAGCATTTATTTATTTTATAAAATGTATTTATTTCATCAAATCTGTTTTAGATAAACATGAAGCATAAGATTCCTTTTTATAAAGGGTGTGGACGCTGGGCTAATGAATTCCTAATTATACTACGCTCTATTAACCGGAGCTTGAAGTAAAAAGATAACATTATGGCTGAATTTTTTCAGGGATAGAAATAAATGTTTTCTCGTATTCAGTTGCCTCTTCTTATACTGTTTCCTCTGCCAGATCTCACAAGTTTATCTGGGTCAGTCTAGGCCAGTACTTGTAAACGAGACCTTAAAGAAGAACCTGAATGTTGCATGAAGTAATGATATCAGTGCACCGTGAGAGGCACGTTTACTTCTAAGCAAGTACTTAGCTTGTCTTTTTGCATAGTTAAGCCAGCAGCATACTTGTGTTTATAAATGAGAAGTCTGAAGAACATGGCCCTTAATACTTTTTATAGTTAATGGTTAAGTAAATACTCTTTGCAGGGATTTGTATTGCAGACAACAACTCCTGTCATGGAGATATTCACTGAAAGTTATTTTTGTTTCATATTCTCTCTATATTTCTCTTTCACTCTGTGATGAAGTGATCCTTTCCATGTAGCTAGTTTTAGAAATGCAGTAATACAGTGGTACCTCTGGTTACATACTTAATTTGTTCCGGAGGTCTGTCCTTAACCTGAAACTGTTCTTAACCTGAAGCACCACTTTAGCTAATGGGGCCTCCCACTGCTGCCATGCCGCCGCACGATTTTTGTTCTCATCCTGAAGCAAAGTTCTTAACCCGAGGTATTATTTCTGGGTTAGCGGAGTCTGTAACCTGAAGCGTCTGTAACCTGAAGCGTCTGTAACCCGAGGTACCACTGTAATTGTAAAATAATTTACAATTGGCATCCTCAGTGAAGTAAATTTGTAGCTTTCCTGTGTGTATTTTTCTTAACTGTTGCTAAGTGTAAAGCAGCTGATTTTCATGCCAAAGGCCCCCTTTCAATCCCTGCTATCTTGAGGTACAGCTAGGTGAGACTTCTGTCTGAAACATTGCAGAGTTGCTGCCAGTTATTGCCAGTTATATACTGAGGTAGATGAACTAATGGTCTGACTTGGTATAAAGCCTTTTCCTAGGTCGGTTCAGACTTGTGTAAGAGGTAGGCAGCCTTGGCCCTCTTTCCAGCTCAACCTTTAAACTTGTTTATGTCCCACTAAAACCAGAGGGGCTTCTGTGTAATGTTTAAGTATCTCTAGATAGTGACATTTGCCATTTTCCACCTATGAATTATCTCTAGTCTGGTTTAAATAGCTATCCCTAGTAAGCACATATTGTATAAATATAACTGAAGCACTTTCATTCAGCATAGCTGTGCATGAGTACATCTGGAGAGTCATATAGCCACACATGACATGCAGAATCCTAAGAATCGCTTCACATTTTTTCACATGTTTTGTTTTTAAAGTAGGCTGCTGTCTACTTTAAAACACCTTTCCTGTGGAATTTCCCTGTATCTTAAGGTGATCGTTTCTATAACACTTCTCATTGTTCAAAGTGATTCATTTCCTCTATGTTTATCATCTGAGAACTTTAAACTCCCAGCCAGCCAGGGAAGGTGATCACAACTTTAGTGTCCCACAACCAGGGCTTTGTCCACTGAGCCACTAATGTTGGAAGAGCAATGCGTTTGTTTGAGACTGGGGGACAGGACAGGGGACATGTGGACAGAATTATTTAGCATCGTGCCACTTCTCTCTGAAAAAAAGTACCTGTATTGCTTTGTAAGCATTACATTTTTCTGCACCTGATTTTAAACTGTAAGAAGCACACTTGACCACTTTAAAGAGCACCGTCATTGTGGAGAAACATTTTATCAAGTGGGCAGTACTGGCATAGAAGGCTCAAAATCCAGAAGGTGGTCCCCAAACCAGTGGACATTTCTTTGGACAGAAATGATACTAATAGTAAAACTGTACAGTATTAAAACCTATGAAATCTGACCATGGAAACCAAATATTTAAAAGGTTAGCTAAATAAATAGTTCAATAGATAAAGAAAAATATTAATGTAGCCACAGAAAGACATGAGTCGGGATGCAGACCCATGTTAACTATTTGATAGAATATGAAGATTAAGTCCTGATATGGTCTAAATAGGATATAGTCTAAATTTGTCTGGCGTATACACATTTTGAAGTCCTACCTGACCTCCCACCATTATTATTATTATTGTGAATGTGAGCAACTGGCATCAACCCTTGAACCAGAGTAATAATAATTTAGGCTGAGGTAACATTCCATTTACTGAGTTATATGTTTGAGCAATTGGGTACAGTTCTGAGTCATTCTGCTTCTGGTCTTCTGTCAGGCTCCACTTCTTTTTCCTAGTACTGCTATTGTCCATAGTTGGCTTGATAGTGATGGAATGAGGGACATTAACCTTCATGGCACCTGGAAGCTTGTGGTCTCACTTTAATGAGGAAAGGGGAACTGATCTATTTGCTTACTATTGTGTGCTGATCTGAAAGCCTTGCAAGAAGGAGGCCTTTTCTTCTTACTTCTGTTGCTGGAGAGGAATTTGGATCAGCTCCCAGACTTCAATATCAGTTGGAGGTGTGTGTGTCCAAACTACTTGAGTGAATGGTCATTGCTGCCACTGTTCTGATTCCTGATAATTGGGAGGAATTTTCCCTCTTGGGCCCGTAGCACCCAAATGTGCTTTTTAGTTGGACCTTATGTTTGAAGCGGGGACGCGGGTGGCGCTGTGGGTAAAAACCTCAGCGCCTAGGGCTTGCCGATCGAAAGGTCGGCGGTTCGAATCCCCGCGGCGGGGTGCGCTCCCGTCGTTCAGTCCCAGCGCCTGCCAACCTAGCAGTTCGAAAGCACTCCCGGGTGCAAGTAGATAAATAGGGACCGCTTACTAGCGGGAAGGTAAACGGCGTTTCTGTGTGCGGCTCTGGCTCGCCAGAGCAGCGATGTCACGCTGGCCACGTGACCCGGAAGTGTCTCCGGACAGCGCTGGCCCCCGGCCTCTTGAGTGAGAGGGGCGCACAACCCTAGAGTCTGTCAAGACTGGCCCGTACGGGCAGGGGTACCTTTACCTTTACCTTTATGTTTGAAGCAAAGCCTGTCTTAACAGAAGTCCCCAAGAGGCTAATTTATTGACTCTTCAGCACAGCTTGACCCTCTCTGGGAAATATTGGGGGGTGGTGAGCCTGAAATTTGTTGGGAAAGTGTTAAGCCCCAACTGAGTTGCCAGTTTAAAACAAAGGGCTTCAGTAAACTTATTGATTTCTTCTATATAACCAGGAAGATCCTTTGCACTCTCCCATGGTTGTTTCAGATTCTCCATAAAGTACTGTAATTTTGCTACTGTGTCACTGCCAAACCTGTTCATTTGTTCTGTGTGTTCTCCTGCAGGTTGCTTTCCTCCTGAAGCCCTTGGCTAATTTGCGCTGTCCGCTAGACTCTGTGATCCATGCTTTGAGACCAGGAGGGACTTAAAATTTTGAAATGAAGATGGAGGCAGCAGACAAAGTAGAAGAACTCATTGACCCAGAGGTTCCATCAAAACTCCCAGAAAAACAAGAAGCAGCTCTGTGTGAAGAGGGACCTGTAGAACTAGAAATGCATGCCCAGAAAGAGAGCGGAGCTGCTGTGGAGGATTCGACAGTGCTTGCCTCGATGCCATGCTTGCTGATGGAACTGAGACGAGACTCGTCAGAATCTCAGCTAGCATCAACAGAGAGTGACAAACCAACAGCTGGCCGTGTTTATGAGAGTGACTCTTCCAACCATTGCATGCTGTCCCCTTCTTCCAGTGGGCACTTGGCTGATTCAGACACTCTGTCTTCCGCAGAAGAGAACGAGCCCAGCCAAGCTGAAGCAACTACAGAAGGAGATGCTTCTGCGGTATCAGGGTCTACTGTTGGGAGGAAATCCAGGCGGTCCAGGTCGGAGAGTGAAACCTCAACAATGGCTGCAAAGAAAAACCGGCAGTCTAGTGATAAGCAGAATGGTCGTGTCGCTAAGGTCAAAGGTCATCGGAGCCAAAAGCACAAAGAGAGAATTCGGTTATTGAGGCAGAAACGGGAGGCAGCTGCCCGCAAGAAATACAACCTGCTGCAGGACAGCAGTACCAGTGATAGTGACCTGACCTGTGACTCAAGCACGAGTTCATCAGATGATGATGAAGAAGTTTCAGGGAGCAGCAAGACAATCACTGCAGAGATACCAGGTAGAGGATGTTTTTTAAACTGAACTGGTAAAGCTCCTACCGTCATTTCTCAGCTGTCCTGCTAAATTTAGAGGAGCGACACTTGAGAAAATAGAAATAATAAACTAGGAGAACTGCAACTCTATGTAAATTGGAGGGCTGCAGTATGTGAAATGTTTTAAAGGTGGGTCCTGGGGTTTTTGAATGTTCTTATTTGCAGAATTGAAAATTTAAAAAAATGGTAATGGTGAGTTGAGTTCCAGACCCTGCTTTCTGCCCCCACTAGTTAACATCAGTGTGGCTTAGACAGACATATTTAAAACAGCCTAGTTTGAAGCTATTTTATTACAAATGGATTATTCTTTTAAAATGCTGCAACTGTTCCTGTATCTGCATCTGAAACACCATGGGGCATAGTTTTGCTGTTGGAGAAGGCCACGTTCTCTCCAATACTGAATTTAATGGTGCACTTTCCAACTTCATTTTAGTGCATGATAAACTGGTTCAGCTTCGTTGTGTGTTACAATTAGGTGAGCTGGTTACTTCAGAACCTATATGAGGAATATTTTGCACATCGATTGCAAATTAATAGCCTCCACACTACCCCTCAGTTTCAGAAGCCAGAGGGTTTCAATGTCCTCTGTTGCATGGATTGCACAATTACTAATATCATTTTTCCTGCTGCATCCATATTGTGTGACTGAGAGGTGAAATATCTTGGCCATTCTTACAAATAAATATTGGGGCCATTCTTATGATCAAATATTGGAAGGTGCATTTTGGACAGCTTTCCATTTGTTTAAGGCCTGCATTATTCCTTTATCCCAAATAGCATGAGGAGGAATATGTATCTTCTACTTGGCATATGGTACTCAAAATAATTGCATTTTATAGCAACCTTAAAATAAAATACTATTTAAAAAGCTTTTGGTTTGCCGATCTTTTATGGGTGAACATAACATTTGTTTCTTTGCATGAGAGAGATAAGTTTTGTAATTAAAACCTGTGTCCTCAGTAAAGCTATTTATATATGACGTGGGAAGACTTAAAAGGAAAACTACAATGCTGTGTGTGCAGCTTGACCCTTCAAGTATTCTTTCTGCCAGTGGTAACCTTTTAAAGTTTGATGGATTCTGCCTTTGCACAGCACTTTGGGTTTTACAGTTGCTTATGGATGTAGTCTGCCAGGGCTTTTAGTTGCCCAGCCTCCATGTCACTTTGGATATCATGAGCTTTCTGCCCAAACCCGTTAAAATAAATGGAAGTTGCACTGCAGCAGTGCCTAGTGAGATGCCATATCAGTGAACAAACTAAGGCTTTGCTCTGGACATAGCGTTTTTTTTTAAAAAAAGATTGTTTACAATCTTAGGTGTAAGGGACTAATCCCAAGCAGACCGGCTCTGTTGCTGGACTGTACCATTTCATACTATGGACATGGCATAGTTTTCCACATAAAATGCTGGCTACATATAAAAAAATGGCATACTGGGAAGAAGGGCCATAGCTCATGGGTAGAAGATCTGTTTTGCATGCAGAAGGTCCCAGATTCAATCTCTGCCAGGGAATGCCTTGCTGTCTAATCCTAGAGAGCCATTACCAGTATGTATTGACAGTACTGAGCTCAGATGGGCCAGTTTTCTGACTCAGGGTACATAGGAAGCTGCCTTATACTAAATATCTAGGCCAGCCCTTTTTTCATATCACACTAGTTTTGAACAGGGAATCTTTTATTACACCCACAACAGGTTTTTGGTGGGTCTTTGCTAGTCTGGTGTAGTGCTAACAGAATCTGACTGCACGGCAGGCTATTTTATTCCATTGATTTGATGCCCGTGTGCAGTTCTGTGCAGGTGTAAAGTACTGGCAGACATTGTAGACACAAGGGAGACAGAGGTGTAGCCTGGGCTTCCTATCAAGTAAGGGGATCTCTAGTACAGTCTCTTCTGTAAGGCAGAATCTCTGCTGTCTAAACCTTCTCTGATGGGATACCGAACAATGGCAGGGGCCATCTTGTTCATATGTTTGTATATAGACAAGCCCTTAAGTCAGCTTCTCTCTGCTGAAGGATATGGAAGAGTAGCAAGCTTTACATCATCACAGCCTCCACACAATAATAGTGTGATATGCCCTCCATTAACAATGCTTCTCTCTGGCATGTTTCACTGTGGGTATATTGGTTGTTTGGCACATAGTATGAAGCAAAGCAATTAAGTCTTTAAAAGTGTGGATCACTCCTCCCTCGGTGCCTTTGCTTTGCTTGTTATATAAATATAAAAAACTACATAATTGTGGTTCTTTTGAAAGTGTGATTGTCAGTTTAAGTAGGGGCAGGATTTTGTTTCTGTTGCATTTCTGTTTTAGGGGAAAAAATAAGTCAAGGATTGAAAGCTGGAATTCCAGGTGAGTGCTCATGAGCACACACATAGTTTCAGGAACTTGCAATACATCTTAGCCTTCTTTTGTAGGCTAGGTGAAAGTTTCTCAATTTTAAGGAAGGCAAGAAACACCAAAATGGAAAATTGGAAGAGCTAAGTGAAAAGTACATAATCGGTACCTGCTTGTTTACACTTTAGTTTTGCTAGTAAACAGGAGAGTAAACAATGTACCATAACCCTAAAGTAACCCGTTTTTGGAGAAATTAGTGCAAAAAACATGCATGTGGGGTTGTGGAGGCCAAGTATTTGCCTTCTTTAAGTTACGTGCCTTTGGATTTCTTTATATCTCTTAAAAATGTCATGGCAACCTTTGTAAAGATAAGACCTAGCCACCATTAAAATATCTATATCAGTGTCAGTTTGCATAAGCGTTAAGCTGTTTGTATTGAATAGTTTTCCTTCTCTTAATAAAATCTAGGTTTGGGGACCTGCAGAGGGTAGATCTGATTGGGGCCTGTTACAGTGAAGTTTTGAGTAAAATTATATTTTAAATTTGAGAGAGCTATTTTATCCAGAGCTGCAAAAAGGAACTCACTGACAGTGTCATTTGGAAATTGAATGGGAGTGACAATTGCCTAAAAACCATAACCATGCACAAAGGTTTCTGCCTGCCCCTCTATAGCTACCATACCATATATCCTTCTTGTAAGTTGGAAATGAATATCTTTCTTTAATCTACCATTGCTGCAAGCTGTTTTGAAAGTTCACCCTCAGCCGTGTTAGTAGGGTTCAACTCCCTCTTGTCCTTTTTGCCAGTGGCAAGCAGGACAAACCCAAGGTGTGGTTCCAGTGCTGGTGCTACAGAGGGGGAGGGAAGAACCCTGCCCCACCCAGCTGAAAACATGGATAAAACCCTACAGTTTGCAATTAGTTGGATTTGTAGTGGGTACAAGTCTAGAGCCAAAGCTCTGGCTGTGAAATTGTAATCTTGTAAATCATGGCATTATTAGTGCAGTTCTTCTGTGTTCCGAACAGAAGGAAACACCCCTTTGCCCCTCTTGTCATCCTGGAAGAGAGGAGGATAGAAGAGAGCCCAGAATTTCCTTCTGGTAGACATTGCCCTGGAGGAGAAATCTGAATTTCCCTTCAAAAGCAGCTGCTGTTATTATAGAATGCCGGGTTTATGAGAAGAGCTCAAAAGACAGACCTTTCCATATCTAGTTGCCTCTGATCTTTTTAGTCATTGAAGGACTTCACTGTAAGTGAAGATATATTGCTTCTAACAACTCAAGAAGAATCCATCCCATAATAAAAGTCCAGATATTTCATTCCTATAAGGATAGTAGGCATAGTTCTACTGATACTCAGGTTTTGAGAATTTTAACCTCTGCCTCCTGAGAAAGCAATCTATCAGACTAATGTCATACTCTTAATTGTTTGCCATTGAAAAAGAATGCAAAAACTAACCTAAACACTATAATTTATCAGTAGTAGTCCCCTCATGGTATTCTTGTGGTAGGTTCCCATAGCATCAGCTATGTGTGACTCTCCTCCCCATATTCTAGCACACTGAGCTAGAGACTTACGAATCAAGTGAGATGCCCCAGTATTTTTCACTGTCAGTATTTCACAACAGGTGCCCAGTTAAATTCCTAAACTTGTAATATTTCCCTCTAAAATAAATTCTGGACATCACAGTTGCAGAGAATAAGATGGAAACGCGTAGGCAAGTCCCAAACCAGTAGTGTGTTGCTGGTCACTTGCTAATCACACCTAGAAATTATCTGTAGATTTTCCTTCCGTTATCCATACTTCACTTGTGCCTCATGTTTCATCTCTCAGGCCCACATCCACCTTCCATAATCTGTGTCACCTCATTCTTTGCAGAAAAATCTGAGATTTGTGAAGACCTACGTACTACCATTAGAATACAGAATGGAAATTATGTTTCTGCAAACTTAGATGAGCTGCTCAGAGTTCAAAATTTGGGTTTTCTTTGTGCATGTGTGGGATCCTCTCCTTGAGTTGCGGTTCTGACTATCTGCAAGAGCAACTTTTCCCTGTGGGAATGTTTTCACCCACAAAGTCCACATACAGGTCTTTGTGTTTTGGGATTTTCTCCTTGAAGCAGAGTAAACAAAGACTGTGGGTTGGATTCAGACATCTCCCTCTGAATGGAAAGGCTCTTTCCAGTCACAGATAAGGTTCTGATCCATCAGGAGCTCCCACACACTTAATCCTGCAAATGGGATACAAGGAGGCATTTTTCACCAGTGCTTCCCCTCTTCTGCAGCCCCTCTCCTCCCCGCCCCCCAATATGACCCCATACACAATTTTGGAGGATACCTCAACCTCCAGAGCTGCTTTGTGGGGACATAGAGGGCTGTTGGCAAAAGGGAGGAATTACTGAAAAGCCCCTTCTCCCCATGGGAACCTAGAGTTCTGCTGCAGGCAGGTCTGGATCCAGCCCTCTGCTTTTCTTTGGCGTAATCTGCTCTGTGTTTCCCCTTCTGCGCTCAGTAGTTGAAGATAAGATTATTTTAATATAATTCAAATCCGTAAAATCAAATCCATGGTGGTCTCCCAGAAGCTAGTAACCTTGAGAGAGAAACAGAACCTTCACCCCCAGAGACAGTAGATATATCT